ACAAACCACACTGAACAGAAACACAGCTACCCTACATTGCTGTTTCACATCAGGTACCCAGAATAGGCAACGCAGGGTGTTTAAGTAACATTTACCTTTCCTGTTGATGCAGTGCATCAATACAGAAGTAGATTTTCACCAATCTCCAGTTAAGCGAGGACACAGGAATGAATCAAAATGGACACTGGCTGAGTTAATAGCAGAGCTGCCTGGATGCTGATGTTTAATGATATGTAGGCTGCTTTGAATAATTACCAGTCTTATATGGGTGACATCTCTTAATTCATTTGATCCTAGTGTATATAATTGGATAGAAGTGTGAACTTGATTACACTAGTGAACTTGCTTGCCAGGGGAAAAAAAGTGATAACAGGCTTCTTTGTCATCAAAGGGTAAAGAAATGTGACAATCTGGGAACCAGTTTTAGGACCCCATCTGCTAAACCAGAGAGAAATCAAGATTTTACAGTTCTATAAATATTTTAGTGTATGCCATCATTTATGAACTCTGGCAGCTATCATAAAATCTCTCTGACTTTTGTTACAACTGCATATAAGGCCAGAAAATTGCATCTCATGGTAAACCATAAAAACCTAAGTAAAAGCACCATTCCTTTCAGTATATTCTAAAAATATACAACCTCCCTGTCAGTACATGGCAGGGTAGTTACCATCCCAAGATGCCTGTTTCTCTCGCATTTTTTTTATCTGATCTTACCCTGGTCTTTTCAAACCCTTTTGTATTTCAGTATCCTTTTATGTTCCATAAATAACAGCCATCACAATATAAGAGCTGAAATAGCTTTTACTTTGTCACAACATACTGTAAGCAAGAGACACTTGGGTGATGATAATGCTCTGGATACAGGAGGAATTTATGCTGACCTTTTGTCTAATTGCTCCTGATATGATTTTCATTCTATGGCAAATTTCTTTAGAGCACTGAAAGATGGCTAGCCTCAGAGCAGATCCTGGGGCTTTAATCACCAATGGAAAACCCAAGACACCTGTGTAGAATAATATAAATAAAAAGAAAGTTATCCCAAGATTAACAATGCCCTGTTTAAACTTAAACCTTCTATCCAGTCCTACATTATACAGTATCTTGAAAACACCTGGGCTTTACACATCATTGGGGCCCATAATATATTGATATTACCATTAGCATTTGCCTACAGCATGAATAATACTGATATGACACACCAGCATAAGTAATGTCTCATAATAATTAATAGTTTACATCACAAAAGTTCCTCCACTGCCTGTCTGCTTTTGTGTTTTGCTTTGCTTGTTTTTTTGGGGAGGGGTTGTTTTTTTAAACATAGGATGGGGCTAGAATAAAGTCAACTAAAGTAATTTTGTTTTGTGGCTCAAAGAAAATAACATTATAGAGAACAAGTAAAAATCAAATATTTAGAAGTGACACACCCATTCCACCTAATTTGCATAAAGGAAATAGAATATTGTAGAGGGAAAAAAAGCATATATGCATCTAATTTCTAAGCATATGCAAAAGACTGGCAGTCATGCAAATCAACCATTTCATTAACATACTGGATGCACAATAGAGCTGAGCAAATACTTTAAAACATTCACTCTGCTAAAAAAAAAAAGCATTTATTTTGGTTATATTCCCATCCCTTTTTTATCTGTTTTAAGATTTTCTGTAATGCCTATATGCATTTTATAAATATCTTCATTATTGAGTTTCTTGACTAGAAATGATTATAGTAAGAGGTATGTTTAAAGCACAACAGATTATAGAAAGCAATTTTTTACCCAGCAAGTGTGAGCAATGGAAAGCTGGTTCTGCAGAGGTAGCCAGCAAACAGAAACAGTAATGTTTGGTTTCCTACCAAAACTAACCAAATACAGCTTTAGTTTTGAGTATTTGCAGTAAATTTCTTCTGAACAATCTTGAGATAAAGAATTTATCACAAAATCAGTCACCAAGTAATTGCGGCAAGTTTGGATAATAATACATTTAAGGCAATCTTAAAATAGTTGGAGACAATTTATAAACAGAAAAAAAATCACTGCAAACATTTTTAACATGTTCTTTCATTCTGTTCTAGTATACATAAAATATTGTGACTCATATTCCCCCTTGAAAAAATATTAACTGGGAAATAAATGAAAAACTGTACCTTGACAGACAAATTCATCTTTGATATAAGAGCTCCATTTATCACAACTAATTTACTCCAGAAATTAAATTAGCTCTTGTGTCTGGTACCCAAGTGCCTATAAGAATGACCCTTACATTCAAAGAAGAATTTCAATATTTTAAAAAAGGCATTTTGATTGACTCATATGGCACAGTTATTGCTTTACATGTTTAACATCCCGGTGGTTTTCATCATGGCAGACTAGATCATCTTACTGAAATATACATTTTAAACATATGAAAAGCTGGTGCGAATTGAAAATTATATATGGTAATTCTGGACTTTTAAGTGTCTATTATTTCCTCAAATTTGTTCATTTTTTACTTTAGGTTAGTAGAACTTAAGTGAAGAGATCAAATGAAATCCACATTTGCCAAATAGCACACAGTATTCAACTGTTATCTAGTGTTGCCACATGCCATTCAACACTTGTGTCTCAGTTCAGAGTCAACTGTTTTGCTGTGATTGGCCTACTGGTTTCTATAAATTGTTTGCTGAATCAGGTCCTAAAGCTTTTTAAATGTGTTCAGTCTGAATACAAGATTATTTTTCTTTTGTATGCTAGATTTGGCACATATGTTGGTCTAACATAGCAGCATATAAGCAATTGCACTAGTCCCTTGTCCTCCAGGACTTTATCCCAGAACTACCACATCCCATTCATTCATATATTTTCTAGAGCAACTGAATTGGATTAAAGGGGAATTGTGCTGAGCCACATTTTAAACCTCTAATCAAGTTTAGTCCTTTGGCTGGTTTTGATCAGTGCATTTAATTCTAAAACCATTTAAATAACCATCAGTTAATGCCTGTTTTCTTCAAAATTAATTTTTTTCCATGGCAGTTAATAGTAATCCCAGGACATATTGCTCCATGCCAACCCTTGGTATGAATACTTTCAACATTTTAAAAACACTTTTGAAAAAATGCAGTATACATTTTTGCCAGAATCTTAATTCTCCTTGCACACCCCAACATACTGGCCCGATTAGCAAGCTGAACTCCTTTACAATAAAATAGTTGGCCCTTAAACATAGTCCACATGGGATAAGTAACTGAAGTCTTACTTATATTATGGCCTTCCAGATGTTGCATCTTCAAACAAGTATACTCTCTTTCTTCCACTTGTGGCTTCAAGGTTGTTTCTGTCTGAAAAACACCACTTTCTTAGATTCAGTCAAACTGGCTTTCCTACCAGTTTACCTCAGTGCTTATTTTTCTCATGGCTCCCCCTCAGAAAAAAAATCTATGACCCAATTCTCTTATTTCCCTAAATGCATCCTCACTGATGATAATGATCCAGTTCCTGATTTATAGAAAGAGGATAATCAAGACAAGATTATAAGAGGATAATCAAGATTCCTTATTACTCCTCACAAAAAATAATGAGGATTAACTGATGTTGAAGAACCAACAACAGCTAGCAAGATGAAGGAGAGGCTGGTCAGCAATGTGGAAGAAACAGCCTGGTGTATGAGATGCCTTGGATTTGCTCAGATAAATGCAGTAGGCAAAAACCTGGCTTTAGTGAATTCAACAGCGGAACTCTCCTTGAAGCCACCCACAAATACACAGCCTAAAATTCACTTACTACAAACATTTGTATAAATAAAATTCAGCCACTCAAATGTACACATAAAACAAATATAAGAATGTCCAAAGTACAGTTATTTTAAAATTTCTAAGTAAATAAGTGTACTATTTGTTTTTAAATATCCTTCAACTATATGTGGTACTAAAAGGGGAAAATTTAACAAGGGATTATATGGAACAAACTAAAAGTAAAGAGATGAGCCTAGAGAACTGCTAGCATCTATGTTTTATATATAAGCCAGAGCTATCTAACTGGAAGCTCTGAAGGGTTAAGATGCAGCTCCTGGGCTCTTGCCCGGGTGTCACTCCTCCCACTGGACCAGCTGCAACATCAACCAGAGTCCCCAGGCTCCCCCCCCACCTTTGGCTTTTTCTGCCTGCCCCTGCCCAACGGGGTGGGGAAGTGCAGTATGGCATGACTGTAGAAGAAGAGGGTGAGCCTGGGGCCTTGCTGGCATGCAGTGGGGTGATTGGGAAGGTGGCCATGCATGTGAGCACGCAGTGCAGTGTCAGTGTAAAATTTTAGATTTGTGTGCTGCCAATACAGAAGAGTCAATCCTGACATGTGCAGACAGCCTAGGCCGCATGTCCCCTACTCGACCCCTGGGCCTGTCAGTCATCTGTG